CCCCAATACCTGCGTCTTCCCTTCCAAGCTGTGGGGCAATGCCGCCCTCTCCTGGCACAGACGGGAAATGCGCCGAGCACAGCCAGTCTGCCGCAGCAGGACTTACCAGAGTAAACAGATGGTGGGGTTTTGCTCTCTCCCCCCTCAAGGTAAGGACTAAGACACCCCCCCCCCACGTAGCCAGCCCCTTAACCTCAAACGCTCCAGGGGCCAACTTTGCCCCCAACCCACTCAGGCACAACCCAGAGGAATTCAGGTGGCAAGGAGTCACTGCTCTTAACCACTACACCCAACCAGAAAACCCAACCGTCCCATTTCTGATCTAGATTTATACCCTGCCCTTCACTACCCGAAGGAGTCTCAGAGCGGCTTACAATCTCCTTCCCCCTCTCCACAACACACACCCTGTGAGGGAGGTGAGGCTGAGAGAGCTCTCTCTCTTGAGGACTGCTGTTGAGAGAACAGCTCTGAGAACTTGTGACTGACCCAAGGTCACACCAGCAGCTGCATGTGGAGGAGTGGGGAATCAAACCCGGTTCTCCCAGATCAGAGTCCGTGCTCTTAACCACTGCACCCAGTCAGAAAACCCAGCCTTTCCATTTCTGATCTAGAGGCCAAAGTTTGAGCCCAGGGGCACCTTTAAGCCCAACCAAAGTTCATTCTAGGCCTCCGCTTTCGTGCGCAGGCACACTTCCTCCGATACAGGAGAGCGCCTGCACACCAAAGTTCACACCTTGAATAAAACTTGGTCGGTGTTAAAGGTGCCCCTGGGCTCAGACCTCGTTGTGTTGCTTCAGACCGACAGGGCAACAGCCCCTGAATTCATTTAGAGGCTGCTATTCTTCTCCGAGAGAATCCAACCGGAAACCAGCCTTCCTGTGGATTTCGTATTCCTCACACCCTGGAGAGGCCTTTGGGTATCGACGGCTCATCTGGGATTCCCTCCTCCTGTGCGTACTCCCACACGGTCCTTGCTGGAATCTGGATTTTCATCACACTTGATCCGCTGGTCGGTCGGTCGGGGACTGACGACCCTTCGGCTTGGCTTTGACTGTAACATCGTGGGGTGGTCGTCGTCCCCCCCCCCCCCGCCACCCTTTCGGTCCTTTGCAGCCCTAAATACCAAGTAAACCGTGGCTCAGGGAAACATCTGGTTCAGTCTTCATGGTGGCTGCCGGACTTGGCCAGGTGGGCGTCTTTTGGGCACGGCAAGGCTCTGTCCCGGGATCCTGGCAACCCAGCCAGCACTCTGCCTGCGCTCAGAGTCGCTCTGTCCCATGGCAGAACTTCAGCCAAGCCCTCCCTGGGGAAATGCCCCCCCCGCAGGCCCGTAGCCACAGTGAGGCACGTCGGGGGCCAAGCCCCCTGACTTACTACCAAAGGCCCCCTCCAACTCCCCATCCAGCCCAGGCCCTCCGACTTCCAATTTTTTTAAATTTTTATTTGTGATGCTCCCTTGGGGGTGTCTGTGTGGGGTGCCCCCCAATTTATTTAAAGGCCCCCTGAATTTAAAAAAATCCGGGTCACGGGCCTGGGGGGGGGAGATTCTTAAGTGGGAGGGACGGATTGTTTCATTCAATGTGGAGGAAAAAGAAACCAAAGCCTGCTAACCGCCCGCGGGATCTGCCCCACCCCTCCCCATAGGGCAAGACCTCCCCCTCCGAGAAAGCAGACGCCACAAGAGAGTTGGGGGGCGGGCGGGGGAGGCCTCTGGAAAGAGCAGTTTATTAAAACACATGATCCAAAAGCAATTATTGGGGGGGGGGAGGACAGGAGTCAAATTAACAGGGGGGTTGGGAAGAGAAGCGGTGAATGCAGACGGGCATGCCGAGGGGGGCGAGTGGGGGGGGGAGAGAAAAGCACGGAGGGGGGGGAACTCCCCCCTCCCCGGGGTCCTGCTACCTTCTCCCCCTCTTCGGCCCCCTCCCTGCCTCCATCCCCAAACTCGAGTGCGTCTGTAGGGGGGGGTCTGTCCTGTTCAGCCGCTGCCCACCCCCACTCCGACGGGGAGGGAGGGGGTGGCGGAACCCCTCCCCCGCCTTGCGCTCCCAAATAACTACGATGAGAAAGCTACCGACGCGCGTCCCGTCTCCCACCCCCCAGAGGCGGAACCGAGCCCCTCCTCTTTGGCCGGGGGGGGGGAGCATTCTCACACCGGCACGTGAAACAGACTCAAAAACCCCCCCCCCCCGGAACCCTGCTT